CAATATTTCAATATTACCAATCTACACGAAAATTATTTTTAAACTGTTGTACGGTTTATTTATAACTATCATCCAATCTCGCCTTAAGTATCATAATACCATGTTTTAGAATTTCGATTATCCATAACCGTATTTTCGCGATAACCGATAAGTACTTAACTCCAATACGGCTATACATAAATAAGTTAAATTGTTTTACTAATTAAAGGTACTTCTATAATGCTTTTCACATGTTCTTGTTAACTACTCAACCAATGAGGTTTTGCACAAAAATTCGAGGGTTATTTTCAATTAAAATTTTCCGGATGAACGCAGCGAGTGAGTGACTACCTTGGATCTCTAGTTCCACCTATAATAATGCTTATTCAATGTTCCCTTCTATTTACCCGACGTGGTTTTGCACAAGTACAATTATCATGAATACATAATTTAAAACACATTTTTTTTCTGCGTTGTAGGTGTAACTACATTTTTTTTCAACACAATTTTTTTCTAACGTTGGTTTTTTGCATATATATATATGATAAGGCTACGATTTCGCATCATTTTTTTCTGAAAACTGTATAATACCAAATTTTACTTTGTCTAGAAAAGGTAAGTATAAGTTTTCTGTCCAAATTTCAAGTTCACGGACATTTTTAACTGAATAATGACTTATAACAAATAACAAAATTGAAAAAATAATAAAGCATTAGTTTCGTAAATTTCACGTTTTTCTTACGTTTTTTTTATTACATTTTCCTTTGTTATTGGGAAAACTGCTGAGAAAATCAAAAAATGACTTCCTTAATTAAGGGACCCTAAAATACCACCCCGAAAAAATTCCCTTTCAGAAAAGGATCTACATCGTATACATTAAAGCAAGATTTCTGGTAGAGTTTTCGTAAACAGTATAAAAAAAAAATACATATCTTTGTATAACCAATACATTCTTCGTTACACTCAGAATCTAAAATATTTCAATACCGCGATTGAATATTATTAATTATTTTATAGAAAATATTGATATCCGTAAAAATTATCGTTCAGTGGTGATATGTTAATGATATTATCATAGAGAATATAATAAATATTGCGAATTAAATGTCGGAGATCGGGTCAAGTGGGAGTTTAGGACGAGGATTGGCGACCCCAAACAGTTATGGTGTAAGCGAAGGGAGAAGACGCAGAAGTGCGTACTCGACTACTAAAAATAAATTATACGTGTGAATACGTGCCGAACACGAACCGCGGTTATACTATGTCGTGTTGCGGTGACTGCTGCGGTAAAGAGTAGCGGTTAACGAAAAATACTTCAATACGATTTTAAATATTTCAAAATAACCAAACACTTTGGAAAAAATCTGGTTTCACAAACGTCTTCAGTACATGTAAATACATCACATTCGTACAAGGAAAATTCGAAAACATACTTTAAATGCAGGTAAACTGTTGTGCGAACGAGCAATTATTTTGTAAGTTGGACGGTTACGGCGCGGCGCGGGCGGTCCAATGACGTCACGAGTTATTTTTTTCAATTCTCCATAACCCGTTGAACGATGTGAGCAGCAATAACGTTAAACCTACACATTTTCCCTCGGAATTAAACATGCTTTCTCATTAAATGTAACTGATTTGTTCGAGGTTTTATTATTACAACAGCGCAGATAAAAATTTACGGCAGCCCGTTCAGGCCGCGAACGTGTAACGTCCCCGTTATCGTCATGGTTTTTTTTTTCTTCTTCGGTCCGTGCCCGGAACGCAGCCGTCGGCGCCGGAACGAGAAAACGACGCGGACAAGAGGGGCGCAAAATACCGCTGTCGCCGAGCCGTGCAAGTACCTGCACTATTAGCGCACGCAGTTTTTATTTGTATTTTTTTTCCCCCCATTTAGCCGATCGATCCATCAATTACGTATGAATGTATGGCGGTCATCGTACACATTATACTCGCAATAGATGAGTGCATTCTATCAGTTTCCAACGACCGTGTTCGCGGTTTCAAAAGAGTGTATTAAACAGTCGATTCGTAGGGAAATCACTTCACTTTTGGTTGTAATCAAACCGAAACGTCACGTTGTTATATCTGACCGTTTTCTATCTATCATTTTATCCTAACGGCTTCAATCGGCATTTTTGTGTGGATGTATAGTCGAAAAGTCAATTTTTGTAGAAATACCTTTGCATTTAAATAATCGCGCTATTGTTTATGTCCAAGTTATGTATTGTTTGTCTTAAACCTGTATAACTTCGATAAACACTACAATTTTTTTTTTTTTTGATTACAAAATAACCGGACACCTTGAGAAAATGAATGCGGAATACATAATAGTATATAATATGGACATAGAGTAAAGCATCCATTGTTTTTACCAGTGGTTCCTAAACCATGACTTATACAAAATTATTTGCAATTGATTGTATTGTTTTTTTTTTTTATTTTGAATTTTTGGTAATTTCGAATTGAATCTTAAATTACGGTTTTCTAGGTACGACCTGTTGTAGCGGTCGGACTAGTTAGGTTAGGTTAGGTTAGCTTTTGACATCAAAATTAATTTAAAGTTATACTCTGTTTATTTATGAAGTTTTTAATATAGGTTCTCATTTGAAAAACCAAAATATGTGTATCATCACAGCATGCTCCTTAAATGTTGTAAAAAATCTAAGTATTTAGAAATATTGGCTTTAACTACACTTGGTAATTCCAAAAATTTGAATTTGAATACATGCAAAATTTAACCAAAAAAATGGGATGAGCGCGATTGGTAAATCACTCTATACATATAAATTATGCATGACAATGAAGTAGTGCATATAGACTCCAGAAATAATTTAAGGGATGTGGGAGTAATTATAGTTTTTCCAATATCAAATTTTATTTTATTCCATAGGGCAGTATCTAACAATAATTTTTTTGAAATCATCGGTTTAGGTATTAACGTATTATTATTTATACTATAATACTGTATTTAATCAATAGTATTATCCACTTAGTTTCTTTATTTATAAGTAAGTATTATTTTAAAATTAGGTACTCATCCATAAGTAAGTTCCAAGGATAATTAAAAACAATTAATAAACTTATTACCTATATATATCATTAAAAATACTTACAATGTACAAATTTTAAAATAGGTACTTATACTACATAATTAAGATACCTGTTGCACTCGGTGAAAATATACGTCGTCATTAACAATGTACGTGTTACCTAAGGAAATTATGTCAGTTTTAGGGTAGGTGTTGTTAATTTATATTATAAAAACTGTATATCTTTGGCTACGAAGGAAATGAAACACATTTAATCTGTTGCTAAAGAAACATTCTAGTGATATAAGACAATTATAACTAGGTATTTAAATATCTTCAAAAATTAAAATTAAAAATTTACAAATAAAAATATAGATAATACATAAAAATACAATCGATCTGAATACATTATAATATTATATATATATACAGTGGATTCCGTTTAATGTGCCCATCGGTCAATACGGGCACGATGGTCTGATCCCGATTCTAATGTATAACTATACTCATGACGGTTAAAACGGGCAACCCCTTAATGTGGACGAATGTAACTGGACATATATTAAGTGAAATCCACTGTTTTTGTAAAACTTTATCCAGTGTAAAAACACATTTGAGATTGTAAAAGTTCGTATTCAAGAAAATAATTTTGGACAATTATTGTGAATCTCTTTAAATTTAAAAAATATTCTTTGCAATACCAAATTTTAGATTCTGAGCGGAGCATCGCTGCACCATCACATGCATATGGTGAAAACTATTTACACCGGTTTCATCCCCTCGAAATAATAAATGATAATAATAATAATTTAACTGATAACAATTAGTATTCAAATTTATTTTAATGCATGTGATATCGACAATTCAATAAAATTACCCAACAAAATGAATACTAAACTAATATTATTAAGCGAGAAATGGGAAGCATAGGTGATAATTTAAAAAAATATTATTAAAAATATAATTAAAAAGCATATGCAACAATCAATAATATTTAGTTCATATTTCATATTATCATTGTTAATTTCGGACAATGGTCGGAATACACGGATCTCCATTGTCGATGATTATCTATGGCTGATGTAAAATAATCGGTATCAAGTGTTATTAAACCGGTAAAAAAGGTACACCAGTTTGTACCACGATTTAAGACAGTATACAATCTTAAATCACGGTTTGTACAACGAATCTCTAGTTTATGTCTCTGGTCCGGCAACTCAATAATACATCGATGCATTGATAATTGATACTGTAGTGATTTGACGTAACTCTTATGATGATCCGGGATAACGAGAATTGTTTAATTTAATTAACTGGGAACTTGGAAGTCGTCTCACTGTTTCAATAGAAATACTAGAAATGTTTTGATTTTTGCATGATAAAAGTGTTGGCGCCATTTGATTTTGACTCCCAGAATGACTCAATAACAAATAACATAACTATTGTTTAATTTTCTCGCTTTAATTTGGCAAGGCTACTAACACAATCTAGTGTACTCTTTACATACTATGTCAATATTTATTACATACCCTATTCCTTTGTCTAAACTTTAAACTGGTTTTAGTTTATTTTTATACCAATTTTGTCTTAAAGCGCTAGATGTCATGCCAAACGGTGAGAACCGAGTGAAATGAGAAAAACGTCGATAAGACCTTCCCGTTCGGTATTCCGTATATCTGGATTTGTGATATTTACTCATATCAATAGGATCTAACCATTCTCCCTACTCAAGGTCAAACCGTCACCTAACCTAACTAAAACGTTCCAGACGTGTCCCATGTGCCGTTGCATTCTAATGACCTTGTTTATTTGTCGATGCTCGACTGTATGGCTTCTCTCGTAGCTGTCCTAAACACGTTTACAGATATCTAAATTATATTGTAATTATTGTTTTGTTAATTAGATAGTAAATGATAAACTGTGTTAGTTAATTTGATTGTCTACTTTGTTCTTTCGTGTTTGTTTGAAATATTATTACGAACACGTGAAATAATGGACACTGTTCATTCATCTACGGGCGCTCCGCAATGTTCGGCATTAGACGCGACAACCGAGGTACATTCAAAAATTGCATTTATTTCAACATATATAGTCACAATAATGTAATATTCATTTTTGTACGGCGTCTACCTAACATTTGCCCGTTACACGCTCACTAACATTAGAACATTAAGTATTGAATTGTACATGTCAATTTTATTGTTAAACATTTCATTATAATTAGTTCTGATAGGGTTACCTATCTAAATAATGGGTAGGTACGTGCGAGTAATAATTATTAATTATACAATTTTTTGATTTGCATAGGTAGTATTAATAAATTCGATTTTTAAACCAGTTCTTATCTCATAGGTATCATCTCCGTTGAATTATTATTATTTTTTTTTTTTCATAATCGTCAATGTTTTATAGTATTTCATTGAATATCCTGTTCCTGTATAATATAGGGAAATGATTCGAGATTTCAATAAATAGATTTTTTTTTTTAGTTCTGAATTCCAAATGTGTGTTACCTACCTTTAAATGTGTTGAGTACTGTTGTACATGCCAACAAATAGTAATGTATGTTGTAAATCAAATGGTATTTGTATTTAATTAAGCCCACTGAAGTATACTTGAATAGTTACTTGAATATTGAAGCCAATTATTGAATACTTGAAGCCAATTGAATAACCCGAGGCGACACAAATATATAATATACTTAGGGCATCTGGGCCAATATGAAGGGAAACTTATCCGAATTGTATTACGGGATTTTGTGATCGAGAAACTTTAATTTGCTTAAATTGTATTTCCGAATTACAATAAAGATTTACATGTATTAAGTTATCAGTTTTTTTTTTTTTTTTTTTAAATTAATCACACTACTTACCTGCACTTTCTTAAAATCATGTTTGAAATAATTTGTTGTCACTATGGATTAAAAATCTAAACAGTGAAGGTATTAAATAGTCCAATCAACACTTGAGAGCTAAACTAAAACCGGTTAATTTATGATCTTTAAATTACTCAAATGCAGATATAGATATTATATCACTGAAAAGTGTATATATATATAAATTCAATCTGATATTTAAAATCAAAAACTATAGGCCGATGTTAAAATTAACTGTTAAGTATGTACTATGTAAGTTAGATTATGGGTTGAAATTACTATTTCTGGATGTCTTTTATCCACATTTCTGAGGTATAGTGATTTTTTTTTCAGAATATTTTCCTTCGGATGAATTGGGTCTACTTATTATTGATTTTTGAAAAAACCTTATATTCCAATATTTCTAACTTAACTGATATACAACATTGTCTTATCCCAAAACTCACAACTATAAATAAGTATTGTTAGATTTATTCGTTTTATTTGCTCCTTAGAATACACTATTATATAAAAATGACTAAATTTTCATTTTTAAAATTTAATAATTAATTTGTCTTGGTAGGAAGATATTGTGTGCAGCCAGATTATTCATTATTATGGAGTATTATATACAGGATGATTCCCTAATTGTGAACACATCATTTTTTCGGTTAAATTCCACATGTATTCATATACTGATTTTTTACATTTTTAAATGTAGTTCAAACCGATATTTTCGAATACTTAGATTTTTCTGACATTTAAGGAGTATCTTTTGGCAATACCAACTTAAGTTTTTCAAATGAAAACCTATATTAAAAGTGCCATAAATGGATGGTATATTACTTTAATACATTTTGGTGTCAACATTTTTAATTTCTGTCAACCTATTAATGAGATATTTCACTTTTAAGTTTAGGTAGGGAGAGAGTAGTGGAGTATCATTTATGTGGTGTTTTATTAGTTTTTTACTATAATTTAACCAAAAAAATGGGGTGAGCACGCTTAGTGAACCACTCTGTATTTTCCAAATAGATACCTACTCATATGAAAACTTCTCTTTTCTGATAGTATAATCATACCTAATATATATTTATGATTAAGTAGTTTTTATAATGTTTTTATAATCATTAATTATTTATAGGCTCTGTGTGATGGTTTAAATGTTGTGGAAGCTGAATGTGATGATGCAAGAGAACAAAGTTTAAGAAACTAGTAAGTTATTGGTTTTGGTATTAATAACGGTTTAATTATTATCTATGTGCCTATTTATTGCCTATAATGTTAAACTAACCAAACAATTATTATTTATAATTAGACTGTACAGTTATTATATCATTTATATTCCTTACATTTACCAAATTTAATGTTTATAAATAGGTAAATGTGTTTAATTTATTTTTACAGTGCTTTTCGTGTTGAACATATCAATATCAATCCCAGTCAAATAGGAGAAGAGGGCATTGATGATAATTTACTATTAAAGTAATAAGGTTATTTTTGCAGTTAATTTATATTGATTGATTTTGTTTTATTTTTTTTTCCAGAATATTTTCCCAAAGCATAAATCATGGATTAGGTATTGATATTGGTTATACAAAAGACAATTTAAAATCAAATCCAAGTAATAATGTTCATAGATATAACTAAGATAAAATTTATTTGTAGGAACACCTACGGCTGCTTTATCAATTGATACAAATACTGAATTATCGAATGATTGTAATACCAACCAAATAAATACATTAAGAAATAATGATACAGTTTATTTGAAATATTTCAAAAGCATAACTGAATTATATATTATGAAAGATGTAAAAGGATTTAAAAATGTAAAACTAAGTATTAATCAAGATAAAAGTAAGTAAATCTATAATTTAAAATTAACTTATGTATTCTTTAAAAATAAGTTTTAAATAATATTTTTTTTTTTTTTTAGCTTTTGTACCTAAAAGTGATATTAATGTGGGAGATATTGTAAAGGTTGTTTCTAAACATTATTTATATCGTGGTAAAGTTATTGAAGTTAATAATACGTCTATTAATGTACAAAATATCGACTTAGGATATTTTGAAGTAGTTGAAGCAAACGTTATTGGCGAATTATCAAATGATTTAAAAAAGGTAACAAATATTTGATATTACTCTAATATTATATTTATAACAGATAAATCTGGTGAATACTGGGTCACTTTTTAAATAATTATGTATTATTAAATAATTAAGCCACTACATACATATATCCATACTATAAGAATCTTGGTACATTTAGTACACACAAGGACCTCTTTTCCACCACAAGGATTCCCTTTAAAACAATTGATATTATTTCAAAAACAAATAGAAAACGTTCTTGTTAAGGTACGGTTTCCAAGGCGCGACCGGTCACGGAGACCAGTCGCTGCAACCGGTCTCCGCGACCTGTCCGTGTGTGCTAGTTTCCTAGGCGCGACTGGTCGCCGAGACCAGTCTCTGGTGATGTAAAGAAAACCGTCAAATTCTGTATCTGTATTCAGTATCATTGTGGTTTTCGTGCAGTGAGGGCTAGTGTTTTAAAGTTAAATTGTATATTTACTACTATGAGTATGAATACAATTATTAATTACAATAATAAAATAATGTTACTTCTTCTTGAAGAAAAGCAAGAGGATGATGATTTATTATTTACAACACAATGCGATCAGAGAGAAAAAGTTGATGCATTTTTATATTTGTTGTGCGACAGGTCAAACAACTCAACATTTCTTCGAACCATTTTGATCAGTTGTTCTTCTCCCGAAAAATGAAATTTAGCCATATTGCTGTACAGGACAGTCGAAATACACTGCTCTCGGACTGGTAGTGTCGATAAAATTTAGTCGCGCGACTATTGTCGCGCATTGGAAACTAGTCAATAGGAATTACATACTAACAATCTGACACCGACCTGTCGCACCTTGGAAACTGTACCTTTAATAAATAATGAAATAGATAATTATTAGTTTTTCAGCGATTTTCATCATTTTCTTCTGACATATCCACTTTTTCAGAGTTTTTTCCCCACATTAATATACACCTCCCTCCCTACCTGTCACTGTCTTCATCTTCTTGATTTCCATGCTAATATTATTCTAGTTTTCTATGATTACAAATTTAAATTTCTCATGTTAGAATAGATTTATGTTGATAGCATTTTTGAGTACTGTTTAAAGCATTTTACTGTAATCTTTATTCATAGTTATGCAAATAATTAAAACTATATCAATTTAGTATTTTATCTACAAACAATAATATACAATATACTTGCATATTATCAATAGATAATTATTTGACCAATATTATATAAATGAATAGTACCTACCAATTTTTAGATTTGGAGCATAGCAAGGAATCTATTGGTTTTACTGTAATTTGTATTTTTCCTGTCTGTGAACCACATTTCTACAAGATATTTTGCTCTGAAATATAAAACATAACGCCTTTCTGAAAGGTAATTTTCTTTAGTTGGTGCGTTGAGGAGGTCATTTTTTGATTATCCAAAGCAGTTTCGAAATAATCGGGGAAACCCAGAAAGAAATCTAGTTGTATTTTTTTTGTCTAAACATGGTAAAATGTTCAAAATATTTAATTAATTTTTGAGCTTAAATATAGACATTTTAATTTTGCGAGTCTTATATGTCATTTTTATTCAGTAGGTACTCTGTAGAAAAAATTGTGTGATTAAATAGAAATGCATGCAAATTTAACAAATGGTTCCATAAAATTAGTATATTATATTACCTTTCCAAATTTTTATTTACAACAGTGGTTCACCCATTATCTATGTCCATGCTTTTTTAATATTTGTAAAAGAGTATAACTTATTACTTATCAATTTTTACACTTTTCATCACATACACTAATTATAGTATAACTTCTGAGCTTTTCAGATCCTTTTGGATTTCATTGGTTTCAATGTTTGAATTCCAATCAAATTGTTGTTTTCAAAGCCATTAGATTCATAAAATGATTAATTTTTGCACCCATAATTATATGGTTATATCAGCTTGTTAAATTTTACTTTAAATTAACGTGTGATCAAAAAATGAAACATAGCATATGCCACTGAAGATTTGATCTAATTTTTACAAAAACCGATCAGTAGTTCTGATTACCCATTACTTCCCTCAAAATATCTTTTTCAATGCCAATGAAATAGTAAAAATCTGGAAATGTACCTCCCTCCACAGAATCCTAACAATAAGGTTAATTGAAAATGAGTGCAAAATTTGAATTCAATATTATTTGAAATATATAAATTTATATAAAAAATTTAAATAATGTAAAACTTTTAAAAGTTCCCAACTCCCTACAGCCTACCTAACAAACAGGCCAATTTAAAACTAAATGTAAAATGTGGGTCCAGTGCCATTATAACTGATAATAGGTTTTATGTGCCAAACTATCTTGTAACCTAAAATTTAAGGGTAAATAATTTATGTAAGCTAAATTATGATTCTGACCAATGTGCGTCCTAAAATATATTTGAAGTTAAATATTTTGTATTTTTATTCCGGTAGATTCCTGGATTGGCATATAAAATTGGAATTAAAGAACCTTTAGTACAGAAAAGTGTGGCATTAGACAATTTTATCAATGTACATAGAAAAGTTCCATTGTGTTTAGTAAGTATAATTTATATATTTTAAAAATAAACTGTTAAATTTGTATTATAGAATATTATATACTAAGATAAATTTCATTAATTATCTTTACCACACATTGGAAAAATATATAATAATCTTTCATAGAAAATATTTCTTTACTGTAATAATAATAAAATAAAATATTTACAGTTTAAACATTTTAAATTGTCAATTTATGGCAGCTGTTAGTTTTAAAACATTTGGGATAAGGATGTTATAAAAATTGTCAAGAATATTGCCATTATATAAAGTATTATTATTTTTTCGAGTAGAGTAAAATTATTACGGTTGAATACTTGAAATTTAGAAAGTAATTGATAAAGGCCCTGAGTATTTGAAAATATTGTCTAGTACTCAGGTTAGCTATGTATTTAAAAACTAAAAAAGCTTAAGTACTCAAGTATTATTTTAAAATGCACAAGTACTAGAATATTTTCAGTGTACAATGAAATTTCAGAATTCTATTATTAACAAATATTAGTTAAATATTATTGTTTAATAAGTTATAACTAATATCATTGAATTAAAAATATTTAATAATAATAAAAATTAAATTTGGTATATTAAAATAAAATTGTTACTTATTGAAAAAAAAAAATGATTTAAAATATAATTATCAGAGCTAGGATTTGTATGCAATAAAACATTGTAAAATATGCATTTTGTTTACCAAAATATGCAAAAATATGCATTTAAATTTTTATAAGATAAACACAAAAATATAGTTACAAAAAAAAAATGTATTTATTGAAATACATTTGTAGTTGGCTGTTTGTCGCAATAAAATATTATTGAGAAATAAAATTTATAATTCACATTCAATAGTGGAAATACGTGTGTTTCATGCTACTATTTTTTTAAATTTTCGAATATAAATGATCGGTGATTGGATCGTAGTATTGATTTATACTGACTGAAACTCCGGTCAACGTCACATGATGTAGTTGGCGCATATTTAAATAAAGACATTTGTCCCGGTGTTAAATTACAACTGAAATTGTCTTCGCCATTTAATATTTTATTTATTGATTGTAGAGTTTTAAATCATTTATTTTTTTGTAAAACCAAGGATATTTTCTTTTTAACTTTATCTATGACTTTATTCATTACACTCAAGAAGTCGATTCCTAGCATTTATTATAATCTGTAGATTTTAATGAAGTCTTCGTCAGACTATTCAATCTTTTATCGCACATCTATTGTATTATTGGATTGTATTTACAAAAATACAATTTATGTTTGACAAAAAAATCAAATTGTATACTTTAATTAGCGGGGCTAGAATTAAATACGAAATATACTGCGATACATGCATTTTTCGCATTGTTATAATCGAAATATGCAATAATATTCGTTTTATTTAATATATGCAATAATATGCATTTTATCCAAAATATGCAAAATAAAAACACCGCCACTTATCTCATCATGAGGTTATTTGTGGAAATTACTGACAAAATCAATAATCAGATGTTGCAAAAAAACATGCTGTTGCATATAAATCCTAGCCTTGATAATTATATAAAAATAACCACAAGATACTAAATATACTTGAAATTATATGAATATAATATTTATAATAATAAATACGAATTTATTATTTTATTTTAATATTATTTTATAAATACGAATTTATTATTTTGTTTCCCAATAATTTTATTCCAATAATATTATTCACTGAATTTTCTTGTCTTGTCTACTTCATAATTACATGTATGCATATACAACAATTTTGTTGGCAGTGGAATTAGTTGTTTCAACATTTAATCAATTTTTTAATTTCATTTTTAGGAATTTGATGAAGGAAATTGTAATGGATACCAAGAGATGACTTTAAAAATAAAATATACTTCTAAAAATATTTTTAATGAATTTTTAAAAATTAATCTTTCGGATATTTGCAATGGTAAGACTGTTATCAAATTTATATTTGTTTTATGTCAATGTGTAATTATATTATTATATTATATTATTCTCTTTATTCTAACCAATGTGTATCAAAAAATAATTTAAATGAAGAAGTAAAAAATACCGCAAATAAAAGTACCATCAACAATTTTAAAAGTATTTCAATAGAAAATGGAGAGTATTGTATAATGTCATATTTTAAAGATTTCCGAAATATCTATATTTATAAGGCAGTTCTTTTAGACGAAGAACCTAAATTCTATACAATTCATAATATTGATGTTATTGCGAGAACTGCAAACACTACAGGTATTATCAGTAGAGTTCATGATATGATAGTATAGTATAGTAAGATTATGTTTGTACTGTTTTAATAATAGAGTGAATTGACATATTATCAAACTTAAAGATAAGCACATTATCTGTGTTTATACTTGGAGAAGGGTTAATTTTTTACATATTTCACATACTCTTGTTAAGTTTTTTAATTAAAATATCAAACTAAAAACTAACAAATAGCTCTAATATTAAAACCAACAAGCAGTAGCAAAATTTGTTCTATGGAACACAAATTTGCTGTATAGTGTACTTATTAGTTATATATTAGAATACAATCAAAGTTTAATACTTTAAAACAATTGTAAATTAAATGCATGGACAATCATATAAATTGGTCTTTCCTTTCTTATTATTATGGTACAATGACACATAATGTAAATATGTTCAATATTAATTTTATTAATAGGTATAGTATATAATATGTGACTTAGTGCAAGAGCTAATGTTAAAAAAAATATGTATGTATGTGTATATATATATATATATATATATATATATATATATATGTACATATTATAGCAATTTATGAACTCTGTAGGTACTCATTAGATTTTTGGCTTTTCTTGCATCAATGGGAGGCCATAAAATCCTAGAAAGTAATTTCTCTGATACTAGAACTAGTGGTATGTTATTAAAACATCGTGCCCTTTGTCACCACACAAATGATGCTCCAGTTCTCTCACCCAATTCAAACTTAAAAGTGGAATATCATGTCACCAGTTCAATGGGAAACAAAAATGTCAACACCAACATTTGTTTTAACAATTCTTCATCTATTTACAGAATTTTGAATATAGTTTGTTATTTTAAAACCAAAAGTAGGTAGTCATTTCACCTCCGAAAATTAGGGTGACAAAAAATAATTTAAATCTTAAATTTTAGAGCAACTTGTTATTTAAATTTTCAAAATAATGTAAATACTTTCCGAGATATCAAAAGTCTATCCACTTCACTTAAATGGATCACCCTGTACTTTCGCAGAAACAATGTGAGTAGTTTTCATGTGGTGTAGCATTCCACCTTAGGCACAAATAGTATTTGAAATTTTAGAGGGAGGCTAAAGTCTGGGATCTCAGAATTTACAAAAGTAATAATTACCAAACAATTGTCTTCTCTTTGCTCAGGTTCAACTATAAACATATTCATTTACAGATTATAACATTTGTTTGTCTATTTCAATACCCCTAGAAAGTTTAAAACATATTTTATAACTGTAGTGGTACATCACACTATTTTATGATGGTAGTTTTACTTAACATTTGGATTCTGGGAGTAAACTGTCTCACCAAGCTACAGATAATATACTTAAATGTTTTTATTAATAAAATATTATTGCATTATGTAGACAGAAAAATCCAAACAAATTTAGCCATCGGAGATATTGTTAAAGTTTTATCATGTTTTCATGAAGAATTTAGTAGAGCAGAAATTACAAATATTGAAAATAATAAAGTCTATGTGTTTCTTGTTGATTCGGGATGTTCAGAAATTTTTGATTCAAGTGATATATTTGAATTACCAGATGAATTGAAAATAGTGGTATGCCATAAAAAGTTTGATATTTAATATTCATATGTTATAATTTACAATTCAGTTTAAATGGTATCATTTTAGAATGATATGCCATTACGAGTATCAATTGAAGTCCCTACAGGTTCAAAAACAAATATTGATATTGAAAATTTGTTTACAAATTTAATAGAAAAGGATGTGTTACTGTCTATTGTAAGTATCTTACTATTGAATTATTTATATTTCTTATATTAATTTTATTTTTTTTAGGAATACAACAAAAAAAGTAGAAACCATTTAGAAAATGTTATTCTAAAGGAAGTAGTGTCCGGTAAATCTGTGAATAAAGAAGTATTAAAATTATCAACAGTTGAAAAAATAACTATCAGAGATGGTGATACCTGTACACTAACCCATTGTGAAGACTTAGAGAATATTTATGTTTCCAAAATCTATGAATTTGAATATATCCAAACAATGGAGGACATAGTAAATAATATAGGTTATTATTTTAAATAAATACTCTTTCTATATTGTATTGCACATATGTCAATATTTATTATTCAATTATTATTTTCAATATTATTGTTGCATGCTATACCACAAAAATTATATTTTATATGGAGTTTAAGACTCCTGGTTTTTCACACAAGTAGTCTCAGTGGGCCCCAGTATTTTTTAGTATATGTTACTTTTACATTTTCTTACAATTGAATAGTGTTTATATATAGTGTGTATACTCTATATTTCTCTCTAATTTTAAAATTAAGTCTTAATTTTAGGGTTACCACATTTTCAACAAAAGATCATTTTTGCAAGTAACTGAAAGTAACTTTTCATATTGAGTTGGTCATACATTTATTCAAACTATAATAATTTTTTCTAAATATTTTGAGATTCATTGTTTTACAAAAAGTAATTTTTTTTTTTTTTTGCATAGACCAAAGACCAAACTTAATTATATTTAGCTATCTAAGCTAATAAATATCTTAAATATTAATTGTAACATTGTTATGAATGCTGGTTGGTCAATGTAATTAGTAACTTTTTTAGGTATTTTTGTTATTTAAATAATTAATATATTTTGTGTTTATTAACACATTATATTACCAAGAATTAATTAAATGTTGCTATAAAAATTTGTATTTTTCATTCCTTTTTTTTAATTTTGTCAAGATGAAAAATAATTAATTTTTTAAGTTGGTACATTGTACCTACTTTAATAATTATAAGTATTTGCTTAATCCAAGGTAGGCCAATAGGTCCATATGAGTTCGAGTGTCGCAACAACCATCATTATAAAAAAAATTTTTGTAAATTTGTATGTATTTGTATGTTTAATCCAGGAGTATTTAAATTAGATAAACAACAATTAATAAAGTCAATATATAATAAGTAATAACTATGAAAATCGAAATTATACAATCAAATTAAGTAGCTATATAGGTGCATTCTGTCTCAGGAGAATGTCCAACAATTTTCCAACATCTTGCTCTAATCACATCTATGAGTTTACATTTTTCCCCCACAGTTCTAAGTACTTCTTCATTTGTTTTTCATTCTATCCAACTTAACCTTTCCATATGCCTCCAACACCGCATCTCAAAGGTTTCTTGTTTTTTCTTTTCAGTATCATTTATTACCCATGTTTCACATACATATGTTGCAACACTCCATAAATATGTTTTAATAAGTCTATTCTTAGTATTGAAATTTGACTTTTTTGAAGTTAAAAATGTGTGTTTTATACTAAAGGCAGGTTTTGCTAATGCTATATTATGTTATTTTATCTTTTGGACGTTCTTACCATCAAATGTGATTTTGCCCCCTAGTTTACAAATTCCTCATCAGTTTTTATTTTTGGGGCTCTGGCGCAAATTAAGAACTTTGTTTTTCCCTTATTTATTTTTATTTCTGATATCCTGAGCATTTCATTCATTTCATCAACTGCATGCTGTATGTAAACTTTACTCTGCGCTTTTACCACAATGTCATTTGCAAAACATCATTGAAACAATTTCTCCGCCAATTTTGATTAGTCTTGTTAGCTTTACTTCCACTATATTTATAACTTTTTTGATGTAGCAGTTAAAAAGTGATGGGCTGATAAGTTCATCCTTGTGGAACTCCATTTATTTGAGCATTAGCAGTGATTCCTCCTTTTTAATGCAAGCTGTCTGATTTTTGCACAGATTGTGTACGATTCATAGGTTGTGTTGTTGTTCAACACCTATTTCTAATGTAGCATGAGCAGCATTTTATTACAAGTTAATTTATAGAAAGCCTTTACCAGGCTTTTAAAGACCAAATATATCACTCTATTCTTATTAAATTCTATTCTTCAATTAGCATTCGCAGTGCTAAAGTTGCTTCTTATGTACTTCTTTGTCATATGAAACCATTAATCATTTTTTAAGTACTGTTCCACTTTTCCTTCTATTCTTCGATTTATTATTTTCAGTAGGATTTTTGAGATAATGTGTCAGTAAACTCAGTATTCTAAACTGTTCACAGGAATTTACTCCATTTTTCTTTGAAATAGTTACAATTATGCTCTTACAAAAATCATCCCATACCTCTCCTTTCTCATATGTATCCTCGAATTATTTGATATAAAGTGTCCTTTATCTTCATGCTGTTGAAATAATTCTGCTGTTATATTATTAGCCCCGATGCTTTATTTTGTTTCAAGTTATAAAATGCTAGCTCAAATTCTGATCTTAAAATGGCTAGTTTTGATTTGTCTTCATTTGTTGTCAGTTTCTTAAACTGTTCATCATAAAGCTCTTTAAGATACTCTCTCCATATTTTTATTATGTTCTCATTATTAACTAATAATTGGCCATTTTTATCTCTGATATTAGTTTAATTTTGTTTTCTCTTTCAATTGTTGATCAGGTTATATATGATATTTGCTATAATTTGTTGTATAATATACATTTTTTAGGTGTATTTTTATTTACAGCTAACTTAATAATATTACCACAATACTGATATTGTTTTATAGATTTCATCAATAAAATCAACTTAAATATAGGAGATGTTGTTAAAGTTCAATCACCATCAAATAAAAAAGTGTATAGAGCAAGAATTATAAATATTATAAATAATGGTGATTGCTGCGTTTTTTATTTTGATTTTGGAAAAACAGAAGTGGTCAGTCCTACATATATATATGAGTTGTCAGATGATTTAAAAAAAAGAGTATGTTTTAATGATTTAAACATGCTCAATGCCCCTTATTAATTGTTTAAATATTTTTTCAGCCCAATTTCGCTGTTAGAGTTGGATTAAATTTGGGACCTAGAATTAAAATGAATTCTAAAATTGCACAGCTATTTTCAAATTTAGCTACTACATTGACATTATTATACATTGTAAACAAATTTAACTTGTTTATTTATCTAGTTATAAGTACATATATAAACATTTTTTTTTTTTTTTTTTTTAGGAGTTTGAAGAATCTTGTACTGATGGATTAAACAATTGTTTTTTAAAAGTGGTATCAAGTGGACTTAATATTAACAAAGAAGTTGAGCAATTATCATTGTTTTCGCAGTATACGAAATTAGGTTACTAATTGTGTTTTATATTCTTTGCTTAGCAACAATGTATTGGGTTTTTTTTTTTTTGGATTTAAACAACTTTTATAACAAAAATCTTGCTACAATCAAAAAATTATAAAAAAAAACTTTTTTGGATCTAATCATTGGTGTATTGGAAGGGGGGTTATTTTTTAATTTGTATTGTATTTTTCATAATTAGGACAAAAATGTATAGGATAACCGTACAATTAAATATTATCAAAAGCTATAAAAAAAAATATTATAATGCTCTGTTTTTATTTATTGATTATATTAAAAAAGCTTTTTTTTTCAAGACTTATTTTTACATCAAATGATTATCAATGTTTTTTTATTTTTTTACTAGACCCATAAACCCATAATGTATAGAATAATTTTTTTTTCAATATTTTATAATTCTGAGCATTAAACTATATTATATTATTGAATAACGTGATATAAATTTATTTAACTTAATCCATAAACCTTATTTTATTTACTAATATTTAAAAAACAATTTGAATAAGGGTATTAATTAATTATCAACCCATTGCATTATGATAAATTAATACTTGCAGACATTTGACAGGTTTTAGATTCTGAGTAAAGTGAGGAATGTATTTACTAAGTATTTGTGTTTTGTTTTTTTTCCAGGTCAAATAAGAAATGCAAGGTAGAGTTCAATTTATGAATAAAAGTAAGTCAGTCAACCAATGTTAGATAATATATTTTTATATTATGATAGCTGATATATTAGTATAAGAGGGATCCATTGATGTGGTATTTTTCCTTAATATGGTGTCCCTAGACATTTTAGTATCATTAGTTATTTATTTGACAGAGGACTTATAGCTTTAAAAAGTCAACTGATATGCACTTAAATATTCAAAATATGCATTTATATGCAAAATAACTGACCCACAATATGCAATTAAAGTATGTAATTTGAAATTTAAAAAAAGATATTTTTAAAAACATTAATTTTACTCAGATAATAGTTTATAATTAGATACAACTTGAAGATACTTCTTCCAATTCTAAAAAATAATAAAACAAATATTTTAGTTTTTAAAATTTTGTAAGATTAACATATAATGTATATTTATTTAGCAATTCAGACACTTCAGTTTATTTATTTAATTTTTTTTATACACACACACACATATATATATATATATATACTACACTACACTATACTGTAACAAAAATTTATATCAGAGTTTTCTACCATGTTCGACCTAGATGATATTAATGAATGTGTAAAATACCTTGAACAATTCAAAAAAAAATATAGCTGTTATTTTTATTAGGTGCATTGTTGTAAGTGGAAAATGAAGAATGCCTATAATATGTTTTAGGGCCAAAAATTATCTTTTATTAATTGCTGGGAATATTGGAACATGGTAAACTATTCATTATTGGGATTTAAAAAATTTAAAAAAAAAAAACCATTTTCAAATTAATTTAGCCATAATTTATTGATTGTTTATTCATCTTATTTTGTAATATAAATTTAGTTGATGATTTTTTAACCATACCTTTTATTATTTTTTTTATATAGTTTTGTATGAAAATAAAGATAATTGTATTGTTTATATAATTTTTGTGGTACATATAAAATTAAACTTTCCAGATAATTTTGAACACTTCTAGCAGTTCACTCTGGACCAAATAAATCTAATATTAGGAATTATTCTTTGTTTTATAAACAGGTTGAAGTGATATAGGGGAATATAGAGAACGCTGTTGCATTAGGGCCCTAACTTTAAGGGGAGTTACTGTCTTTCCAAAACACTGTTTATCTGTTATAAATACAATTATTTATGTGTTAAAAATAATAAGTCTAAAATAAATCTTTTTTTATATTATTTATGATTGGATATCAATGATTACAGTGAAACCAGCATATAATGAATACAGACAGTAATATTTTATTGATAAAAAATATCAAAGTATAAACTCGTACATAATATTTTGAGGCACTAAAAAATTGTCTGTTTTAAAAGTGACAAAAAAAAAATTGTTATTTTACTTAAGTGCTTTTATTTAAAAAATATCAAAAAATAACCTCTCTAAAGTACAATCTAGATAACTTGAGCTTTCAGAAAAAATGATACACATAAAAATCTGAGCAAGTATTCTGTTAATTATTGTTTTATAAAGAATATTTCTATACTCAATACAAAATATGTGAGGGAAAATTTTATTATAGTGGCATTACTCTGTTGCTCAATGATGTTTTTTTTTTGTTACTTATACATTATTGTTATATTTGTGAGTATTCAACTTTAATTGTATGTTATTTTGTTTATTTTAGATACTGCAAGAACGCATAGGAAATACAAGTGATGTTAATGTATGGATTTCAATTTTTACATCTGTATTATTATTAAAATAGGATATATTTCTTATTAATTAAAAACATTTTTTTTCTCTTTTGATTGCCATTATATTATTGATTTAATTTTTTTTAAACATTTATTTATCCCATAAATATAGTATTATTTATTATTTAACCAAGCAAATAAATTGTAAATTATTCATAGTAACCTATCAGTATTTCTACTATTCCTAACTGTAACTTCAAAAATTTTAAGGAATGATTTAATTAAATGATTAATTCAAGATATTCAACATTTTGATGTTTATCAAGAAAACGTTGATACATAATTTTATTAAAATCATATTGTATTTAGGTACCTGTTAAGACACCGAGTGTTAGTGTTAAAGTTCCCCATAAGAATTAAATAATTGGTATTTAATGGTGTGAATATTAAATTATTTCAATATATTAAGTTCAATATTTACCTAATGTAAATTAAATTTTAACATTAATAGAATATTGATTTTAATATTTTTCAAATAGTTAAGAGGACATTTTACCCATATCTACTGTCTCAATTCAACTATCAGAAAACATTGCATTCACAGAATAAGTAAAACTAGCTTAATTTTGATTTTAGAGTAAAAATACCCATTATGAAATTTATAGAGAACAATATTTTAATGTCTTAGGGTTTTTGTATTATTCAAAATATACAGCTCCATATAAAAGATAAAAACTTTAACAAATTTAAACTTAAAACATATATAAAAAAAAATTACTAAATTATGTTTTACATTTTTAATCTAAGAGTTAATTTATAAACTATTTATTTTGTGTTATACTTAAAGCTTTTCTGTTAAATTGTATTCAAATAAAACCAAATAAAATAAAAAACCTCAAAAATGGTAATTGCCTACAAATAGTTCAAAAAATGTGTAAGTATAATATAAGTATTCTGTAAAAATGTCAGATCTATACAATTACTTTTAAAAGAATTTCAAATTTACAAAAAAAATTTGAAAATGGAACTGAGGCAAAAATGACCTAATGCACTAACTACATAAAATTCATTTTAGATAAAATTTTGCACTTAAAAGTCGTAGCAACACAGCAAAACGGAGACAACAAAATATCGTACGAGTTTGTAAGTTTTTCCCCTCGTTATACGTCAGCCGTTGCAGTAGGATACTCAGATAATACGATACTTATATAGATAAGTACGGAATAATTCGAGCGGGAAACTAGACAAAACGCGATATTGAAACGAATAGACGATTCATTCGATTTCGTTCAAATCGGCAAACAAAAAACTAATAGGGCTGCGTATATATAAGTAAGTTGAATCGTATATAATTGCCTGATTATGTAAAAAAAAAAAATACCAATTTAAATGTATTATTTACCAGAACAGGCAGTTTCACTTGAAGTAGTTTAATTGCAAGGTAGAAAGGAGATGGCAGGATGCACAAATAGCTATTATTTTTTTTTTTTTTTTAAATGTCCACCAGAAAGAAAGAATCAGTAAGTCAGACAATATTTGCCTATTTACTTATTCTGTTTTACCCGAGCAAAAAGGAAATAAATTACTTCCATTGCGATGTTTCTAAGTTTTCTGAGGCTTTTTTTGAAAGTGGTTTCTTAAAAACGATTTTTTTTTACCTGGACGAGTCAATTGTTAAGAAGTAAGTTGCATTAATAATGCGGAAAAAGCAGATTATTTTACGTTAATCAAAAGTAATTTAAATCTAAATTTTCGTCTAAAGGGACAAAAATACATCTACACACAGCGATAGTAAGGTCCAGTGATGCAATCATGGGACCAATTCCATGATCATCACCCCCCCCCCTGCAAGATCCCCTTGTCTTTTTTTTTTATTTAAGTGTTATATAGGCACATTACACGTTTGACTGCAACGTATGAATACATAGTCTCTATTTTGAAGAGCATCAAAACATAGTTGTGGAAAATACTAAAATAATATAAAAAATACTACAAAATAGTAGAAAATAAATACAAACATTTTAAACAAAGTAATTAGATATTTTATTTGTTAAAATCGATTTAACGGATTTGCTATACTGGCCGTCCATATCTAAATAAAATACATAATACACACGAATAAAATATAAATATAAGCAAACCATAAACATACCTACACGCAAAAAAAAATGTACTTCTATTTTTCTTTGGTATATTTTTATTCGGCTGCCATAACCTTTTCGGTTATTTAAACGCGAATCATAATTTATAATTATGTTTTTGACGGAAAAACTCCATTGACGGCAAAAATCGCAAATTTCCGTTGGACCGTTTCAAAAAAAAAATCCAATAAAATCATAAAACTACCTTTATTATATTCTGTTTAAGTTTTATGTTAAACTTATACATCACCCATACAAAACCCATCGTGATGGTTTCAGATTGTATAACAATATATTATACGATTAAAATGGTTGATTGACAAAAAAAGAAAACGAGAATAATAAAAACGAAAGAGCGCCGTGCTATGGGCTCGAAAAGCCTACCTACAACTGTGGAATACACAATATATTGCAAAATACTTTTTTACGTTATTCGAATTAATATTCTGAATACAATATATTTTTTGGTACATTTGTTTTGAATACGTTTTTTTTTCTTGGCCGGTTTATCCGAATATATACGAAACAAACGTATTTTTATCGATATTT